ATGGCTTGTTGCATGATGTCTCCCTCTGGTCAAAAAAGTTAACCAAGCAACCTACTCATTGACAAGACAATACAATCAAGCCTACATTTCATTTACTTATTCTCCTATAAATATCACCTCCAAGCTCGAGGCAAGACAAGTGAAAAATATCTCACTAAACTCTTTCTCTCTTTAAAGCTTTTTTCTTAATTTGGGTGCTTTTCTCACTGTATTTTCAGTGTACGAAGTTGACTTGAATGTCAGAGAGTCTACGTCGGCGACAAGCCCCCATGACATTTTTCTCTCTTTTGTAGTTTTCACAAACTTCCGAGAGAAAGATCCAAGGGCCCTCAAACCTCGTTTGGGCCCAATGGCATTCCTCATAAAGACTTTCATAACCTTTTAAGAGGAACGTCCGACAAGAATATCTAAGAGCCCTCAATCCCGCTTGAGCTCGATTTCACTCTTCATTAAGATTTTCATATCCTCTTGAGAGGAGTAGCCAAAAGGAATCTGTCAAAGTCCATGTAATTTCGGCTAAATTTATATTCATCCTTTACTGAGGGCACATTGGGAAACCTCATTTTGATGCCTCCATAAACCTCTCATGTGCCCAAACACTGGCCTTAAAACACCTTTATTATCGCCATTCATATATGCTTCTTCTTATTCAATTGTTAGTCCAATTTTTAGCATCAGCATGTTGTTCTAATTACTTCAAACAACTCATTCAATTATTAGTCCAATTTTTGGCGTCAACATATTATTCTAATTTACTTCAAACAAAAACAAGAAGCATGATAGTTGATTTCTCCAACATATGCTTATATAATCATTTTATTTAAGGTTAAAATTGGTCAAAGGCTGAAAATAACTTCCCATTGTCTTTGAAAAGTTCAGAAGTGCAACAGATCGGGGTAGGGTCTAAACTTTATAAGATTACAGGATAATGTATTCATGGGCAGTTCTTGAATCATTACTCATAAGGGTGTCTGCTGTTCAAATGTTTTGATGAATTATAATGAAAATTCTTGTGATATTAATTTCTAAAATCATTTATATCAATGTACTACCATACAAGCATCTTTTATCAATAATTTATGGGGCCTTGAGAAGTGGCCCTCTAACTTGACTTATTCTACACACTTTACATATTGTCAAATCTAATAGTCAAACCTTAATTAATGGGTATCCTAGAAAATGATTAAAATTATTAAGAAATTTATAATTCGTTATATTGTGGAAATCAAGAGATACGTCATACAAGTGGTAATAAATAATTTATAGATGGGACTTGAACTAAAGTATATGTAACAATGTAATGAAAGCATATACTTTTGTGTTTCATATTAGGTTGTGTTCATCAACAAATTTAGGCAAATAAGTAGTGTATTTAGAAAAGGAAAATGTCGTGATGAAAAAGTGCAGTTGTGGAAGAAGAGAACAAGAATGTGTGCAATGATAATAATGGGGGACCCCTTAAAGGATTTTTTCACAGGCATCATCTCTCATGATTCAAGTGCATGCATTAAAAGATGAAGAGATAAAATCATGTAAGGAGTAATGGGGTCCTTATTGATGATGTCTTTTTTTTTTTTTTTTTTTTGGGTTGAGTGGTTGAAGCATTCAGAAAAGTGATAAATATAGGTGGGACTTGTTAATGGAATGGATTATCTCTCTCGTGACAGAGAAAGAAAGAAAGATATGGAGATTTAAAAGCATATTGCTTTGCTTACCCATCAACTTTTAACTATTGCCATATCTATCTCTATCACTATCTCTATCTCTTCATCTTCATCTTCATCTTCATTTCTAAAACAATTCAACTGTTGAAAGCATTGAAATTTTTTCAAGATGGAGAGCAAACAGATATCCATAACAAAAAATGAAATGAAGATTGAGATTTCACACGAAACAGAAACGGTATCTCCAACATCCGGGCTTATTAGACAGCCGAGTTCTGCAAAGAGCAATTGCCTGTGCTCTCCAACAACGCATGCAGGTTCATTCAGGTGCAGGCTCCACCGTGCCCCGAGTTTCCAAAGAACAAAGAGCATGGACTCTGCGTCTCTTCGAGACTCGACATCTAAGGCTGGCACTTCTGGTGTTGAGGCTCAGTGATTCCCATCAATTTGTAATATTATATAATGTATGTATGAATGTGTGTTTTTCTGGGTTGTTGCAAGCTACTCTGCTATATATCTTTGTTATAATGTTTATTATAAATGTGTTGTATTTTCTTCTTGTTTTGCATCTTTTTACAGTTCTGGTACTCTATTTTGTGAGTAATTATCACTCTCTTGTGCAATGGAAGTGGAACATTATCACATGGTGTTAATTAATAGTTTCAGAGGTGACAGCACGCTTGTGACACCAAGTAAACACATTGGCAGGTAAGTTTAAGGAATGAACTTAAATTGAAGTAAGAAATTAAACAAGAGCACAAATGCTTGATCTACAACTCTATAAAACTGTTGGTAAACTATATTTAAATTCAGCTAATTAGATCCATTCTAAACTTACAAATCAAAACAGCAATAGAAAATTGATATTGAAAGCTTAATTTTATTGATAAATAAGAGGCAGAGTTTCATCTGGTCCAGACACTTGTCTTCATTGATGGGATTAATATTGATAGACATGAAGATACCTGAGCTACCACCAAGCTTCGATCCCACCCCCACAAATTACCAATTTATTACTAGCTTGTCTCTGGGTGCAGAGTGCATATAATGAATAATGGTTGACGACAAGGTTCGAAAGCCAGGCCCAAGCCCAACTTAAAAACATTTGTGACTCTAGGTAAGAGTTACTTTGAGACCTTCTAATAATATAAGCATATATTAAAAAAATTATTTCAAATTTATTTTTCTTGCCTTTTGAGATGCAAAATCACTAGGAGAGATGGATGATGACCGATGGGCTAACGGGGTCAGGTTGGTGGGGGCTTTTGAAGAGCAAATGCTGGAGAAGCGATGGTGAAATGAGTGATTTCCAATGCCAAGATTGACTAGAAAAGGCTCGAGAATTCGTGACCCAAAAGGTTTCGGTGGCCGGTGATTGGCGGAGTAAATAGATGAGGTATGATAGGAGTTTTGGTGAGAGGGCTGAGGGGAGGAAGATGGTGGTGTCAGGGAAGGCCAACAACGCCAAGTACATGCCAAAAAGGTCGGAAATGATTGTCACGCGCGGTGGAGTTGGGTTGCAAGATTCGTAAAAAATTGGCCAAATTGAGGGCTGTCAAGACTGGGAAAACACTTGAGAAATGATAAAGTGATGATTCCAGTCGATTTTAGTAAGAAAATCGACTAGAATCAACTCCAAATGGCTGACGGCGAAAGAGGGATAGAGATGATTTATGTGAATGTTAAATTTTGGGATTGAATTGGGGGGTGAGTAATTTGAGATATGTAAATGACCATTTTAGCCTTTTATTGTTAAAAGAAATTCAATGTGTTAATTTAGAGGGGTAATTGAAATATATGAAACTAGAGGTACAAATTTACTATTTCATCAAACTTTAGTTGGGAATATATATAAAAGGTTTATAATAAATTTAAGCATTTTCGGCTTTTTTTTGGGCCTCTTAGGCTGACCTTGATAAGAAATTATATATTATTTTTCATTTTTGTAATATATTAAAAAATTATAAAAAAATTGGACTTGGACCATCTTTTACCCTTTTTTTTTGGGGGGGTGGTGGTGTGGCTAGGAAGGTGACTCACCTGCCTACCCCTCAAATTGGCCCTGCCGAAAGCTTTCACCAAAACCATAATCTAGGTCCCAGATTTTAACTTGATACCAATTTTTCTATAAGGCTAGATTATAGTAAGTTAACCATTCCCATAAATAATACAATCGGAATATGATAAATAGTGATGCACTGATATCTGTGCTGTGAATTTTCTTTTTGATTACAAAGTTTAAGGTGCAGACAATTTGATTTCTTGTTTGTTACTTTTTGGAATTAAGTGGACAAAGTGTTGGTAATTAGATTAGATTTGCCAAGAAAGCAATAAGCAAAGTGAAATTCAATAGTCAAAGATATGGAATAGAAATGATAACAAAAGAAACAGCCAGTATTAACTAGACAAAGTAGAATAATTAAAATGTTAAGGTTTTGTTGAGGAAACTGGAAAGCTATTTGGTCGCATCAATCACACCTGTTTCTGTAATAGGTAAAAATTATAGTGCAACAATACACAAAGAGAGAAAAAGGGAGAAGAAGATCCTGCGGGTGCCTCAAAACAGTTTTAACTTTATTCAAGAAAACTATAATGAACACTTATTATATATAACTAATCCAGGCCAAGACACGAAGTAGATAAATTATCATAATGACACATGTTTCAGAATGTATGAATGACATCAATAACTCAAGCTGATTAATTATGCATTAATACAGCCAATTTTCATTGGAATATTCTTGTCAATCTTATTTACCACATTGCCTTGAACGAAGAGATAAAGTTAACTGTAAGGTTATGAGCATTGCCTATGAAATGTCCAACCTCATGATTCTGACAATGCTTATTTCTTATGCGTTTCCATATGTTGTAGTCATTTCAGATTGCCATCTATTTCACTTGCCAGGTTTTGTTCAAAGTTCTATTAAAAAAAATCCAGAGCATGCAGTTAGAGGCATTTGATGTACAGATAGACACACAAAGTAGTTTAATTTTCCATCCCTTTTTATTATCAAATTGCACTGTTTTTCATACCGTATCTGATATCACTCTATTTGCTGAAAAGATTGGAATATTTATTTAGTGATAAAGAAAGAATTTTCTAACTTTCCCAGAAATCCGATTTGCCCAGATGCCAATAGACTTTTGTTCATAATTCTAGGGAATTTTAATGAGAGACTGAAATGATTAGCTCAAAACAAAGATATAAGACAAAAAGCATTCCAGTATAACAACTCTGCAACATTGTCAGAAACACGAAAATCCAAGAGTTAACAAGTGAGGATCCAATGATCTAAAGTGACAGAATCAAATGTTTCAGATTTCTAGACAAACGCATCAGTTCCGGTCCCACTGTTGGTCAAACACAACTATGACTCCTCCATTCATTCACAGAGAAAGAACTATCAACATGTTGGTGCATAAGAATTATTACTAACACAATTTGAGGCAATATTATAACATGTTACATCAACAATTCACATTGAGATTCTTTGTTTTAAGCTAAAATTACAAGACATTTTTCCCAAGTACAAAAAACAACATTATGTGTTACCCTTCAATTTTACCATTCACAACTGGGAAGTAATCAACATTATTCACTCAATTCTTTTCACTGCCATTTTTATTGATTGACAACAACTTACTGAACATCTTTTTGGGTCGTGTAGGAAGAGCACAGAAAGCCTTAAACTTAGAAGCTCTGCCAATTCCATCTGGGTTCAAATCATTTTCATCTAAATCATCATCTTCAGCTAACTTCATGCGTAGAGTTGAAAGTCTAGACTTTGGAGATTTAAGGCCTGAGATACTCCACTGGTCCTCTGCTGCAATGGTACTACTGGTGCTGAATGTTGCAGGAGGCCTGGAAGGATCGATATTGTGCCCTGCTAGCAGTGCCTTTATGTTTCTAGGCAGCTCAGTCACTTTGCCACCGGCCATGGCAGCTCGAGCTTGCTCAAAGAAAAGAACTTGTACCACTACTCTTAGCGGGAGTAACTCATTTCTTGCAGCATGCATACATGCCTCCATAGATAACTTTTTGCAGTCAAGGATCCGGCACAATCTTTTCCTTTCACTCTTACTTAGGTCAAGATGTGTCTGTATGGAGAAATGAAAATTTTAATTAACTTTTCACTCTTACATTGCTTAGGTAATTCAAAAACTTGATTGTATCCATGTGCTCAATACAAACAAAAATGACAGAGATGCAAGTTTTTTCTACTCACAATTGTCAGAAATCTCCACAATGGGAAATAAGCCTGATAAGATCATTGCAATTATAGTATATAGACTTTAGTTTTTATCTTGAAGACTCGGGAAGTTTCTAATGTTGTTCTAACTTAAGATGACTTTTTCATGTCAACAATTGGCATATCTGAATTACTGCATACAAATTCTCAAATCAACAAAGAAATAGAAATTTACAATTATATAGTCATGACCCAGAATCAACCATGTTGAATTTGTTAGGTCAGCCTAATCCTAACTGCCAATAAATGGTGAATATGACAAGATACTAAAGTCAAGAGAGTTGGTTATCTACTGATAATGGTGACCCACATCCTAAAATGTGATAGTGATATTTTCCCAAAAATTTCTTGGCAATCACAGAGTGAATTCATGGTAAATTAATAAGAATAAGAAGCTGCTGTGTTATTTACCTTGAGATAAATGTCAATTGCTCTGTAGAGATCATCATGGTCGAGCCTGGCGAAATCTGGTATGGCCTCAGCAATTGTAATGAACTTTGACAGAGGCAAATTCACATCTCTACCAATTTCTTGTAGATATCCATCCACAAGCTTTGCCACCTTTAGTTTTGAACCATGTGATGCTGAAGATGATCTCCTACTCCCTTGCAACTCAAAATCAATATTTTCTGCGGACCTAGACCTTCTCCTTTCAAACCCAAGTTTTGATCTTGGTGGGCTAGTTGGGGGACTCTGCCCCTGTGACATGAACTGTTCCAATATGGTCATGACTATGTCTACATCATATAGATTATCATTTGAGTATGATAGAGAAGGTATCAACAGGTCACTGACTGTTGCTTCTTCTAACTGAAGTCCAATTCTTCTAGCCAATTCCGTCTTTGAAGAAGAGGAAGCATTAAGAATATTGGCTGCCTTCAAGAGTTTAAGTAGGAAACCACAAGAAACAGCACCTTTCTCTGTTGGGAGTAAGCTTATTATTGATTCTAAAAGCAGCCTATGCTTTGAAGTGACCTCATTCGCTGAATCTGAATCTGAGTCTGATGCTTCAGGGTTATTGATATTCCCATTTCTGGAAATGTTAGGTAGCCATCTTGATGCATAGATTTTCAATGCGTCGCCGACGAGGTTAGAGGGTATCTTTCCACCAGATTTAATGGCTATCATGGTTCTCCAATAAAGGTCTATGCCTAATTCTGCCATATCTTCAGCCCACCAACCTTTGCTATGCCTCTGGCTCTCAGCTCCATTGCAAGAAATATCATCTCTACCCCTCCTAGAATAACTATGGGACAAACTCACCTTTGAGGGATGAGTTAGGACTTTAGAAGCAATTGCTTCAATGCATCTGCTTGTGATTCGAAGGTCTTCTGACCATAAAGGAAAAGCTTTTGTGGTCTGAAGGGTTACAATGGAGTCCCTCCACCCATGAAGGATGCAGGAATTGAAGAAAACCTCAAGCTTGTATATTAAGTTCCCCTTCTCAACATCTTCAGTCATCTGCAAGTATTCGGCGGCGCATCGTGCAGCTACAATATTGTAGGCACTGAGAGTGATTGTAATTCCATAGCAAAATTTTGCACAGAGTTCAAATGCCTCAACACCACCAGGAAAATCAGGAAGTTGGACTATTTGATGTTGTGAGGTTTCAGGGGACTCAGAGCATAGCCTCTGCAGCCGCGAACACTTGGACAACAAAGGAAACTGCAACAAAGGAATTTTAAAGAATCAGTCCAAATAAAAGGGTGAATAATACCTGCAAGAAATATTCTTTCTAATATCCCAACAGATTCTATTTATATTTCCAGACATTTTTTACCTTGTGAAGTAGATATCTACTTCCTTTCACTTGAATTATGAGATCACTAGAGACTTCAGAAGAGACTGACCTGCATTAAGAAAACAATTTTTTGTGATTCTTTTCCCCAAAAGTGTACATCTAAGAATGCTTTCATGTCTAAACCAGTGATGTCCTTACCTTACAGCCTCAGCAGTGTAGAAGGTATCCGGCCGAGATCCAAGTTTCATAAACTTCATGACTGATTCTTTTATTCTTTCTTCTCTGTTAACATATAAGTTCACCAGAATCTCTCTGATGGAATCAGAAAAACCAACTTCATGACTTATCAAACCTTTCCTCTTTAGGACACAAGATGCCACAAAAAGGTTCTGCAATAGCAACCAAACAATGTTCTCCAGACAAAAACTCACTCTAGAGTATCCAGACCAATCAATCCTGTATTAAATTTCCAAGACTCAGAACCTCAACTAAAATTCTACACAATAGACCTCAACTCCCTAAGGAGAAAATTCATCAACGTGGGAAAATGAAAAAAAAAAGAAAGAAAAAAAAGACACAACTGATGTTGAAAAGAGAGGGTATGGGAGGGAAAAGGAATAGCAAAGAGTTATTAGTGTGGGTGTAATATAACAGATTGAGTTTTAATATATAGAATTTATAGCATAAATAGTCCAAGAAACACAAACCCAGAAGATCAAACACTCCAAAGTTATGTCCTTTCAGTCAAATTCCATAACCCAAGCTGATTTTGACATGCAAACAAAGAATCAAACCTCACTGTAATATCCCATCATGATCATTTATACCAGACTTCCTTCCACCAAGTCAATCATCTTAAACCACAGTGGAAAAAAAAAAAAAAAAAAAAAAAAACTACTTTGTAATGTTAAAAGTTAAAACACAAAAACTACTCAACACAAAAATATATTATATATGTGTATATAAGACTTTTGACACTCTCCAGAAACAGAATCAGCTAATCATTCATTAAGAAAATTTAACCTGAAATATAGAAACCAGTGCTTTTTGATAAAAGAATTTTTTTTTTTTTTTTTGAGATTAATGTTTAAGTTGAAGAAGAATGTGGTTTAATGGGATGAGTGAGCATGGCCATGCCAGCGTGAAATGAGAAAGGAGATGCCCACGTGCTTATCCTGCGCCCACTTTTGTCTCTCTTTCTCATCATTGCAACACCATTTTTATTTACTGTTCTCCCCTTCCCTTGATTATTTTTGTCAAACACTATTTTATAGGCAACATCGTACACCTCTCAATTCCATTATTAATATCAATATCAAAAGGCCATTATTAGATCAAACTAATTCATCATAATTTTCTTTTTTCTTTTTTATAAATTATTTCATTCTTTAAATTTATTAGAAAACCAAGAATAAACAAATAAAATAAATAAACGATAAAGTAAAGAGATACTAAAAGGTGGAATAGGATATATGTATCACTTTCAGAGACGGTCTAGCTCACTTTGCCCTCTACATTATACTTTATAACCCTTCAACCGTCAATATTGCCCTTGCATTTTGGCCAAAATATCGAATATACCTTACTTTTGCATTAATGGCAGATGGTCCTTATGGACCATGGCAAAGAAAATTGCATTTTATCGGTATGAAAAAAGAAGATACTATATATGGGTTTGGAGATGAACAAAATTATGTTAGAAAGAGTTAATGTAAGATATAAATATTTGGTCCTGGTGAGATAGATAGTTTCTTCAAAATGGTAAGGTGTGATAATCTTGCAGTTGGGGGTCTTGTTCAATTTTGGCATTGGATTCTCAAGATTTATGTATGATGATGTTCATAATGAAGGATGAGATTGACTGGAACTAATGTGGGCTCCCCTTCATCTATCCTTGACCTAGATAGTTACACTTGTTCACACAAAGTCATTTGACTGCATTGTTTATTTAAAGCTTGATATCATATAATCTTTTAGAGATGAGATTGTTGTTTCTTGATCGAATTGGGTAACCCCACTTCAATTAGGAGCCAAGTTGGACTCCTTTCCTCAATTCAGTTTGTTTGCATCATTAAATGATGAAATGGATGCTTTTCCAGCTTTTCTTATTTCTCCTGAAGGTTTAGCTAGATGGTCAGGTTTGTGGTTTGTTCCCACAAACTCAAACTCTGGGGTTTGAGTCCAGCTTATAAGCACTTGCATAACTTAAAGCCATTCTTTCATTTTTCCCAAAGATTATTGCGAGATTAACATAATTATTGTTTGGCGTTGTGACAAATGTGCTATTCTTGACAGTGAGAGGAAATAGAGAGCATTAATATTCCTCAAAATCTTTAGTCTTGTCCATATTTTTTTTAGGCAACCAATGGTGAGTAAATAGGTTTTAAAAAAGTTTGGTAATGTCCAAAGAGTGTTTCAACAAAGAGAGGCATGATCACAAGGGAATAAGCCCTCAACTGTGAGTTGGGTCGATCAGTGTCCATAAATGCCAAGACCTAAACCTTGTGTTGGCTCGATCAGACCCAACCTTAAATCCCAAAGGCAATGGGCAAACTTAGATATTTGAGTAATAAAATTAGGGTAAGATGTGAAGTGAGTGGTGTTGAATAGAGCCATTTTGTAAAGGGGGCAAAAATTGACGTCAACACTAGGTGAGAAAAGGGGTGATCCACAATTGCTGTAATGGTCCTTATCTGTGCCACCCAACGGGGTGGCCAACCGACAAAACCCTCTTTTTATGGGCCCCTTAGTACTTGGCACTCTCTCATTTGGGACCCTTTACAGTTTGCAAATATACTTGTCCTTAGGAAAATTTAAACTCTCAACTGGTCCAGCAACCTAGAGTATTTGGCTCCATGTAATTATCCTTTGCTAAGTTCTTATGGCTATAATCATCGGGAAGTTTCCCATCACTTGCTCACCCTTACCAAGTGTAAATTTATCTAATATTCATGAATCATACTGATAATAGGGAGATCTTTGACTAAAAAATGATTAAATGAATGGAAATAATTGCAAATTGGAGGGTGATCCGTAAATGGCTTTAACTGTTCCGTTTGGAATTTTGCCTCTAGCGTCTGGTAAAATGTGATGTATATGGCAATCAAAAACAATGCCAGCTTGGAAATGTGAAGACATGCAACGTGAGAGTGAGATTAGTAAAACAAAGAAATGAAATGAAAAAACAAAATAATCCACTGGATCTACTTTATATCCAAGCTTGAAATTTCAACGAAATTAAAATTCTCAATGTACATTGTAGTGATTTCTTATAATGATAAAAACGTATTAAATTCCCCCTTAAATTTAGAAATAAAACCAATCAAAATCAGACTCTCTATATATATATTAAGGCAGAAATCCCAGCAGGGCTTTAATGTCACGAAATGAAAGGTCACATACCTTGATAAATTTCTTTCTTGGGCCACAGGTATCACCCCGTCAAGTCTAGTCAGACTCAGAAGTTAAATAAATATAATATTAGTCATTTCTTAAGTTTGCCAACTTTGTGTTATCAATGTAATGTCTTGTCTCTTAAAATCCTTTATAAAGGGTTGAAATTTTGTACGTATTAGAGCATCCATGTATACCCACAGAATTGATAGTGTTTTCCAGGCTGATGAAGGAATTGTAGCATTCACACGCACAGAATCGAACAAAAGTCACTTTCAGCTTTTCCAAAGTGGTACCCTTCACATTTATTCATACATCTGGTGGGCTCTTTATGTCTCTAATGAATCAAAGTCAGAAAGCGCCCGTACACGTTGCAAATGCCATTGATCAATACAGAATGAGCAAAATGAATTAGTCAAAACGCTAGAAAAATCACCCATTGTAGTTGGTAAATGATGGGATTTACAACTCGTTTCCCTAAGTAACCAAACCTCCTTATTTTGTCAAAGATTCGCGTGGGATGACTGTGACACGACAACTTTCTTTAGCTTATTATTGACTGTAACAACTTTTATAAATATGGGAATGTTTTTGTTTATCAATCATCATTTGTTCTTTTATACAGTTTTGTGGGCTTGAATTTCTTCACGCTTTCGCTGCTACAAAAAGTTCTTTCTTGCAAACAAATTTTCAATTGTTTATATACCAATTATTTGGTTGCCAATGATTTCTCTCCCTCTACTTATAACAAAATCATCTTTGTTAATTAACTTAACTGTGACTTCATTAAGCCTGTGTGTGCTTGTGCTAATTACAAGATAAAGAAAATGACATTGTGCATTCTATTCGCCTTATTTCTGAAGCTTATCTCAAAATCCCATCTTGATTCCTTCCTCACCTTTCCTTTCCTTTATATTTACCACCTACATACTTCTGAAAACTTAATATTGCCAAGTGATATTGACCCTTGTTGGTTCATATCAACTTTAATAAAGCTAAGGTAAGGATAAATACAAGACCGAGACGCCTTCTCTAAATTTGGTGGTCCGTCTCGGTCAAGATAAACTATACACCTTGAGATTGATGATATGTGTCATATTTATCACTTTGGCCTTTGAAAGTTTTTCAATCATTATATATTCACATCCATCGGTGAAAAAATATTTGATTCGTTGTTAAATTTCCAATGGGTATGACTAAAAAGCTTTTGGTCTTTGTTTAAACAATTCCTTTGAAAATTTGGATTTGCTTTCATGACTATAAATTCCTTTTCTTTTTTTTTTTTTCCAGATGGGCTTCTTCTAATTATAATATATTGAATATATAGCTTAGCTTTTTTTTGAGGACCCAACTGGGAATATTCAAAATCTGCAATCCCAATGGTGTAACACTTTCATATTATTAGCAAACCTAAACATAAATGATAAACCCACTCTTAGAAAAGAGAACTGCAATCATGGCCGCTTCTATTCTTATAGGGATCAACACCAAATATCTGTTCTTGGTCAACTTCTATTTATTAAAAGAAACAGAGAAACAAGTCCAGGCTATGGAACTTGGTGGAAGGAGTATTCTCCATTTCATTTTTAAGGTAAAATGTTATCTGATCTCATTATTGAGAATGAACTTTGTGGCTCAAATTGTACAAATGGGTAGTTATTTGGTCAGCCAGAAAGGACGCGGCCGTTGAAACTTACTGGACCACACAAGTGTTTGCAATAAGTATTCTTTCATTCTTCTTCTGTCAGACCAAATGCCAATAGTTGATTGCTGCCAAATTATCTGTTCACGTTAGCTGTTTTTCTGTAGATTATGTGAAATTCTTCTCTGTATACATTCGTATTAGGCTTTATAAGCCTAAAAAGAATGCATAAATAAACCACAATTAGGTGATTCGATGGTAAAATAATAAAAAAGAAGTTTCATGAGTTCTTAAATTCGAGTCCTTTTAATTGGGGTGGCCATTGAGACACTTACACGGCCTACTGTTCCAAAGCTCCGAAGATTAGGAGATTAGTTGAAATGTAGGTAAACTGGTTCGGACAACCGGTGATAAAAAAAAAAAAATGCATAAATGATGTCCGGGCCTAAACTAGAGAAAAGCTCTCCAAAGATTTGCCCAACTGTGTAAAACAACTCTTATCACATTTTTGAGTACATCCCATACGAATTATTTGCGTAACCAATCAACCCCTCAAGCTCACCACAATATCTCCTGCTGTCACAACTGCTCGCAAACAGGTTGAACGGCAATGTGGAATGCAAGTCTTGCATATGAACTTCATTGAGTTGTGAAATAAACTGTTGAGAGCCCAACCCCAAAGGCATATTTTCTGCCTTAAATATTTAATAATACAACAACAAGAGGAAGAAACAAGCTTTAGTTGAAAACAAAGGAGCGGATAACAAAAGAGAATTGGGCTCCATAAGACACTGTTACAGAAGGTGTTGATGCCCAGAAAAGCAGGTGACAAAGCCTGGCCCAGCAGTCTACA